AAATAAATAAAAGAAATTGGGGGAATTATTTACTTTCTTGCCGATGTTAAAGGATCGACAGCCGCCTCGTGTCTGTACAGTAAATATGTCGACACAAGAGTCACATCATATCGTATCTTCTAACTCTGTCGGATTATTCCTTTACAGGTGTCTTACCTCATTGAAGCTACATTTGGGGATGTCAATGTAGCTGTGGCCCATCTCCATGTGGATCCTCAGGCCCTCCACGACTGACAGACTGTACTGGTAGTTCCTCAGGTCCTGGGGGAGAAACGACTCAAAGTACTGTCGGATTTCTAGTGAACTATTTTTACTGCAGGTTTTCACGAAATTGGACGATGCATTTATTTATTATTTTACTGCAACATCAATATTTACTGCAGCACTTCTGAAAAGTAGTAATACAGATTTAATAAGAACACCGAGGCCTCTCTGTTATTGCTCACATATGAGACTCAAACTCTATTAAAATCAGAGAGGTGGTGTCGGCTGCTGTTAAGTTTAGAAAGTCACCAGATGTTTCTGTTCTTGCTGCGTTTGAAGCCCCGAAGCTTTGAATCTTTTTTTTTTTTGGCACAAATATAAAAAGAAAACCCTAAAACTTTAAAAAGCTTCATCCGATCATCACTACTAATTTTAGTGCACAGATTTGGAGTCAATCAATAAGGGCACGCACGCCTGTGAAGCTGGGAGTTGTTTTACTTCGCTGTGCATTGTGACACACTGTGTACAGTGTGTTTGGTAGAAGTTGGCGACAATATCTTTCACTTCAGGCTCTGTATTCTGGACCCAATATATGGCCGGGATAGTCTGAATGCAGAGTCTTCCCGTGTCACTGACTTAACAATAATACTACGTGCATCTGCACAACAGCTGGTGGCATCGACAACAGAGTCAGTAAAGGCTGTAATGTATTTATGCTGAACTGTTTACTGGTGCTGTAGGATGAGTTGTGGATACTCAATCAGTGATTGTTTCTGCCCGTCCAGACTCAACACCAGAGTTTTAAAACTAGAACGAGGTCAGCAGCGTTCTCAAACATCTCCGTTTTCAGGGCTTCAAAATGCCGGAGTAGTCTAGATGGTATGGATGTAACCAAAGATAAAACAACAAAACAAGGAACTCAACACTGACCCTTCAGACAAACAGGAGATGTCACACTACTTGAAAGCGCTTTCATCCAAAGCCACAAACTCTCTTCCTGCGAGGTGCTGCACAAGTCGAGCCAGCTGACACGGACATCGCCAGAGGCCAATGTATTTATCTCTTCAGAACAATCGTGTGATCAGCTGTATCAAATGTCCTTAATTCGAGCTGCACAGTGAAAGTTTATTACCCACTGTAAGTCTGTCTCATAGCTGTTGTGGATCCAGAGAAATCCCAGGAATGTTTCTGTGGCAGCAGAGCTTCAAAAAGCCTTCTCACTTGTTTACGATCGCACAGTGAAGATGGTCTAAATTCATTTTCTTTTAACTAGATTCAACCACAACAGTCCTCAGTGTCATTTGGGGAAATAACCTGATTGTAAAGGAATGATTAACGGCAGACAGAACCTCCTCGAAACCACTTTAAAAAAAAACGTGGTTTCAGTGGGATTAAGAACTAAAGGACTTGGCTTTAGTTGTGACAATAGACTGATGACATCTAACTGCTTGTGTTCCAGTACTTACAGCCAGTAAATTCATGATGGTGTGTCCTGTCTCTCGATACACAGAGTCCCGAAAACGGACGCTTGTCAATGTAGTGGGATACACTGAAAGAGGAAAATAGTTATTAATAGTAATAAACCAACAAAGTTAACGAACACGAGCCAATAAAAGGAAGAGTAGGGCGAGTGAGGAGTCAGCAGTCAGTCAGCAGATAATTTCAAGAGTCTTTAAAATGGACTAATACATAATTATTTCTAATCATTTTAGACAAAAAGCAAACAAAAGTTAAGTTTATGTGTAACGCTCTATGAGCATGTTGTTATTCTTTGTACTCATTCCTTTAAAATAATATATTTGACATACTTTTTATATATTTTCCATATTTTTTATTGTAAATCTGTATTTTGTATTCATGATTCTTGACTTTTGTGGTTGTTTTTTACATTTATTTTCTCTTACTGAGCTTATAACACCAAAGCAAATTCCTTCTATGTAAAAACCTATTTGGCAATAAACCTGATTCTGATTGACTTGAGCTCAATATAAAACTATACCAGCCCACAAAGACAGGGACAGTTAACTACACACCACTGTATTCAGCTCCAAGCCGTAGAAGCAGCCTGAGTGGAAAGACTTTGGCCCAGGGAACCTCCAGTTTCTGGATGAGCAGGCCAAACAGGAAAGGCTGAGGGGGGAGAGTGAGGCCATCTAGAGGCTGACAGGTGGGAGAGAAGAAGAGCATCCCAGCGTGGTCCTTACTGCCCAGAAAACTGCTCGTGAACGTCACATTGTCCAGCTCCTCCAAAAACTTCCCTGTAACAGAAAATAATGACTCTGTAGTCTTAGTTTTTTTCCCCCAAATTTTGTCAACAGAAACACAAAAAGACAAACAAATGGGCCTGAATGTGTGCTCTACCTTTCTGGGCTTCTTGGTAAATGTTGAGATAGAGCGTGAAGAGGTCTTTTGGAAGAGCTTTTTCTTCTGGCAAACACTCCAACAAAAACACCAGCTCTCTCTGTCCGAGCGCCTGCAGCCCGTTAGAGCCAAAACACCAGCACTGCCGACTGCCGTCTGATAGATCAAACCAAAACACAGAGCGTTAGCAGGGACCAGGTCTGTGGGAGAGCATGTAAGGACATCCAGGACACAATGCTCTCTATCCAGTATATGACAGATTGTACGATATAGTCTACTCACATGAGGCCAGTTTGACGTTGACTAGCAGGTTAGCGTTCAGAACAAATGTCAGAGGTCGGGGTCCGCCCTCTTCTAATAAGTGCAGGATCTGGCACGGAGCCGGACTTTCCTCAACCAGAACATCTACAAAGGAAACACAGCAGAGCACAAGTTACACGCATGCAATCCAAAGCAACAGTGTGAACTTTTTTTGTCATTCAGACTTTCACGTAAATGTTAAAGCTTTATTCGACCCGAAGTTTTTGCTAACCCACTACTTGGTATTTTGACACAGTGGTTCAGTTTTGTTTTTTTGACAGCTGGAGAAACACCACAGGACTCCGACTCACACACACACAAACTGCAGTTAGCCTACCTAACCCGCTATCTTAGCTGAACGCACGTAACTTTTACAAATGACCTTGGATGTGCTTCTAGTGACTGTAAAAGCTCCAGAAGACTCTGTGTTCCCAGCACTCATACGGAGAGTCTGACAGGTCTGTGTCGAGGCCGCGCCCCCTAAAGTCTCTGATGCATTTCTTAAATTTACTGAGGGAGCTAGCAGAATTGTGAGCTCTTACTACTCAGCTCCTACTACTGAATCTCTTACATTTTTTAATCAACTTAATCACTTCTTAGAGAGTTCTGCTGCCAACAAAAGTCTGACAAAACGACAACATGTTCAGTTGGGATCCTCATTTAATTCTCGCTCATAATTCATCTGTGCACTCTGCATGGATCAAAGTTGGAAACAAGAGAGGAAGAAACCTGCACAGATTATTACTGGAGGTTGTACAAGATGACAAAATGATCTGAAGACTGATCTGACTAACAACGTAAAACAATATAAAATTCACAATGTTTCATCGTTTATTAAAGTGAGCATACGAGACGACACCTGTGAATCTTGTGGTGTGTTGAAAGCTTTATGGAAACGTTACAGGTCTGACCTGTTAAGATGGTTATGTGACTTTGACGTAAAAGCAACTCTGGCACTTATTCAGACGTACGACCAACGTGTCAACACTTTTTCATAAAGAGGGTCATGTCAGGTGAAAATAAACACACACCTCCTGCTTCATCCTCTCCGGTGGTGATGAGCAGAGGAGGGAGCTCGTCCTCGTTATCTGGCAGCAGACTGGGAACCCTCCTCACTGAAGAACTGAGTCCGGAGAGGAGCGCGTAATCCCAGGGTCCAGACACTGGAGGCCGAACCACCTCTACGGCTACAGAAGCTTCGGGAGAGGAGGAGCCACCAACTCCGACCTCTGACCCTGCTGGGCCAGGCTGAAATGAGAGGGTGAGTCACTGTTATACCACTTCCATTAAACTTCAGTGGTTATTATTGCTGCTGACAATACTTAATTATTTATTATCTATTTGTAGGAAGCTCAGTGAAGCAGACAAACATCCTATTAACCACCTGGGGAAGAACTAACTTTCTGAAAACAAGCGAGAGCAACAGGCTTTTTGTTGAAAAGAATCTCGTGTTTTCCGTCGTTAGGCTGTGTGGTCTTACTGTTGTTTGGTCTGGAGTGACACCACTGAACTCCTGGGAGCTCCTGCGGCTCGTCACCGACAGCTTGGTCGTGTCTGCCACCTCTCCGTTGGGCAGGATGCCATCAGCAAACCACACGCGCTTCTGTTCACGAGGACAACCTGGTAACACACAGAAAATGTCTTTTCAAGGGTACCGTCCAGGAAAACAAACTAACAGTGCAGTGGCGACTGTGTGCAGTGTTTAAGAGTCATCATACTGTCGTTGTTTGGGTGTTTGAGAACGGACACAGGCACCATGACGGTCGGTGGAGGAGAGTTAAGAGTGCCGGCGGCGCGAGCCTGCTGCAAAGGGGGGATGGTGCTGCAGTACTCAGATGGGACGTTGGGGTTCGGACTGGGACCCGCAGGACTCATCATCCGCTCCAGGGCCTGAGCTACAATGACAAAGATGTCATAGAGGTGTGTTATTTTAGCACAAATTTCAAGTTGATTAATTAAAATCATTTTCATCCAGTGTTAACTCAGTCCTAATGCAAGTTCACCTCACTATGTTTTACAGCTGTACTAGCAGTGTAACTCTGTTGGAGCGTGCTCGATGGAGGGTCATCATATTTTGCACACACCATCGTGGTCCCCAGACGATGTGTCCTACTAACGTTGGTGATCCTCTGAGTTTTCCTTTAGCGCCACCATGAGGTTGATATTTGTGATTTTAGTGAAATTTCTTCACAACAATACGACGCACTGCCATTAAATTTTTTTAAAGACGTTCATGTTCCTGTCAGGATGAATTATTGGTTTATGACCAAATACCTGAAAACGAATCACACTCCCAGCAGCCTCAGCTTTTTGTTTCGTGCTAATAAGCATCCTGATATTCTGACACAGGAAGGTACAGGTAGAGCTGCAACAATAAGTTGATTAATTGATTAGTTGTTAACTATTAAATGAATCATTTTTTAAGAGAAAATGTCCAAATTCTCCGATTTTAGCTTCTCAAATATAAATATTTTCTGGTTTCTTTAGTCCTCTGACAGTAAACTGAATATCTT